GGCCACCGCGCCACCGCGTGGGGCCGCTGTGGCCTGTGCTCCCCGGCTCTGGCCGCGTGGGAGAGGTGACATCTCTTGGTGTAAAGAAGCGAAGGGAGCCTTACTTTTTACTTTTCGCAGTCTCCAGGGCACTCTCTTTCTGGAATTTCCAGAAAAGCTCCCTCATTCCAAGGGCAGCTGGGATGAGAAATTCCACCCTTGTCTGCTCCTTCCTGTGCCTGACCCTGCTAACCTATCCCGGACAGAAGCGGTCACTTTGGGGAAGAGACCATCTTACTGCACTAAACATTTCAGAAGCACCAACAATTCCTGTCTCTTTATACGAAATAAGTTCAGCTGGATCAAATTCTAAGTACGATAAAATAGAAGCCATTAAAGTACTAGAAGACAACATGGGGAATTTTTTTAAATGCCACAGTGGAGAAGGACTAGGTTTAACACAAAAGCCTACACAGACCATTCAGTAGAAAATGGTCAGTGCCGGATGAGGCGGGTGGATCACGAGGTCAGGAGTTCAAGACCAGCCTGGCCAAGATGGTGAAACCCTGTCTCTACTAAAAATACAAAAATCAGCCGGGCGTGGTGGCAGGCGCCTGTAATCCAAGCTACTCCTGAGGCTGAGGCAGAGAATTGCTTGAACCCAGGAGGCAGAGGTTACAGTGAGCCGAGATGGAGCGACTGCACTCCAGCCTTGGCGACAGGGCGAGACTCCATCTCAAAAAAAAAAAAGAAAGAAAAGAAAATGGGCAGTACCTAGGGAGCCGGCAGTTCATACAAAAGAAAATTCAAATGGCTTGAAATTAAAGAAAAACACAAAATGATGAAATGCCAATTCCGGCTTGTTAGCTTGGTAACCTTCAAGAAGCTGGTCACAAGCTGTGTTCACTAGGGAAGGGGGCGGTTGTGGGGGCTGGGAGTGTAATGGGGGCAATTTTGGCCTGGCCTTCCTACTTGAATCTCCCCTCACTTAGGAAGATTCCCGCCTGCTCCCCTCCTCCTCTTGCCTGAGGAGGTCAGGAAAGGCTTGGTGCGATTCAGATACTCACCTCACTTCCAGGAAGGTCCCTGAGCCAGGGCGCTGTGCCCAAGCCGCGTGGACCCGGGCCTCCTTCCCTGCCCTCTTCCTTCTGCTCATCCTGGTTTAGCGTCTGCAGAGAAAGCAGGAGACTGGTCCGGCCCTTGGGAATCTTGGGTCTTTCAGGGTCCCCTGAACTGCTGTCCACGTAGCTGTAGCTTCCAAGAGAAACCATGGAGACGGCGCTGCCCCTCCCGGGGTAGTGGGGACCCGTCCGCTGAGCATTAGGCCTGGGACTCAGGGGCTTGGGGCTCGTGGGTCTGCAGGGCGTCCCGGGGTTTTCATATGCCAGGCAGCAGGCAGAGCTGGAAGGCAGGGTGTGCGCGATGCCAGCCTGCTGGGCCCGAGGGCTGCCGGGGGACACCAGCCAGGACTTTTCAGGAAAGATACCTGAAGGGAGGTACCTACCGCCTTCCCGGGCGGCTGGGCACCTGATGGTCGGTTCACTTTTCCTCCTGCGTTCTGGAGAAACTAAACTGGGGGGCAAAGGTGTGGGGGCAAGTGGGGGTGCCCAGTGATCCCTAAAAACATAGCCCTCTTTGTCCCCCGCCCGTTCCTCACAGTGGCTGTCGGTCTCTGCCGGGGAAAGAATTCCGGGTCCCAGCAGCGGTCTCACTAGGGCGGGCTTTTTGGGGCTTTCGGTGTCTTTGCTTTTCAGAAAGGCCCGCCAGGAACCCTGGCGCAGCCTGCTCTTCTCCTTCTCGCCCTTGGGAGAACCTGGGGAACGTTCCTGGGTGTTCTCTTTCTCTACAACGATTGACTCAAAAAAGCTTGAAAAGGTCTTATGAGCCAAGGCCAACCTTGCCCTGAGCTTTTTCTCCGTTGTTTTGAGTCTCTTTGCGTTGCAGCTCTCGGAGGAAGGCCCTCGCCTACCAAGGTCCCCTGCGGTCCCCATGCGCCCGGCCCCTGC